ACATATGTTACCAAAAAACTTGAAAAGAACGGCAAAAATACCCGTTTTTGACTACTTCCGGTTTGGTAGGAATTGACGACGCCGGACGTATTTTGACGACTCAGATAGATTAAGCTTGTCATTTTGAACAACTTTGCTTCTTTGAAGTATTACAAATTCTCAATACTTTTCGAGATATCAAGTAAAAATTTTTGGCCCCTCTAGATCCCTAATTTTAGGGGTCAGCCCTTTTTTCGAGATATCATTTGAAAGATCTTAGAATTCTTCACAATTTTTTTTTCTATATGTTTTAACAAAATATTTACAAGTAAAAAGATATAATAGAAAAAGTGTAAAAAATTTTGAAACGGTCAATATGGCTTTTTTCAGACCATACCGAGCGTTAACGTGCAGTACTTCCGGTGAAAGTTAACAACACAATGCAAATCTTCATTTGTTGCTCCATCTTCCAGAAAAGGTTTCATCTTCCTGTGATGAGCGATTTTTAAGAAGAGCGACGGACAAAATGACCTTTAAAAATCACAAAATTGCGAAAATTTTCAAACCGGAAGTGACGTCATCAAAATGAAAAAAAATGCATCAAGTTTTTAATATGTTCTATCAGACCTAAAAGATTCATAAAAATCTAACGAGCCGTTTTCGAGAAATCGCGTGCACAAAATCGGGGAGAAAAAAAATAATAAGAAAAACAGTGGAAAAGAAACAAACGAATAACAAGAAGGTCTTCCGCTGAAGACGGAAGACCTTAATAATAAGAAACAGAGTAAAAACAATATGTTCCCCAACTTCGTTTGGGGAACATAACTACAGGTTTCTGAATTTCTGTCAATTAGCCTTTAAATGATTGATCAGAGTGATATATTATTTATAGTAATAAACCCTCTCACTCCCTCAGTATAAGGAGTATATATCACTGATTTGATCAATCATATGACGGCTTATTGATAGAAATTAAGAAGCCTGTGATAATACATGGAAGAATCTGGCAAAATCTTTTGAAAAATGTGTATTTTAGTATCAAGTATTGTCAAATTTTATGAAAATCAGAGTCGATTAATCAGCAGCATTTGTTGACTTTTAAACCATTGGCAACTGATCAATGGCCAATAATCGAATCGGTAACCATTTGTATAAAATAGGCAATTGATTTTAGATGAAAGGTAGAATTTAATATCGTAATAATGTAAGTAAAGGTGTATTGTATGGATTAAAATTCAAAATAGGGTATGCAGTTTCAGTAAAACAGAATTTTGCATGATTTATTATAATAGGAATTAATTGACTTGGGAAGAAATAAGCATTGACAGATCAGGTTTTAATTTAATGACATTTAAATATTGCAAATCCATGTGATTCTGTACGAAATGACAGGTGAATTCCCCCAAATACTGAAAACTTACATATTTTAGTAGTTTAGTTACTTCAGTTTAAAAATACAAATATCATAATATATTCTTCTAATTTATTTTGAACCAGATTTTAAGTATATTAAAATGGTAAATGACAACACTTGGAAGATATATATTTTGATAACAAGAGTTTTTTTCTTGAAATAAAAATAAGAAAACTATAAAAAGATATGTGCTGAAATATACCGCGATTGTTTATTCTCCAATTGATTTTCTAAATATGACAGCCTTTCTGATCCATTATCGATCATCATAACAACACTTACGGTATTTCACCAAAAAAAAACAAAAAAAAACACATGCTCTCCCAGCCTAATTCTCTGTAGTTTTAAATATTACTATCCATACCTCTGGCTCTCCAGCTGATATTGGTGTTTCCAGGTGATATTCGGTGTGATATGGAAAAGATTATGCGTTGTTCTTAATTTAATACAGAAATAAGGGTGATGATATTAAGGCAAAATATTATATTTTTCTTGTAAATATATCGTAAATATTTTTCTAGATTCAGCGGATTTAAGTGATAATGATACTGGAAATGAGGGTGGTGATGATGTTGAAGATATGGATGATGGGATACTTCACATCTCAATCAAGGATGTTACCCGTGGGGAATACAAACTAATCTATGCTCATCCTGAAGCTTTCTTATCATCAAAGGAGGGAAGGAAGATTCTCCAAAGCAGTTTTTTTAGAGAACATCTATGCAGTATATGCATTGATGAAGCCCACATGATTCATGAATGGTAAAAATACTTAATACAATATTCAAATACATGCACATGTACATAAATGAAATTCATCAATATATTCATCATTATTAACTTATTGTGGACTTTTACATATACTATACTTCACAACCCAAAAACCCAAAGACATATCTGAATCTGTTAACTATATATTTAGAGTCAAAAGTATGAACTGCATAGATATTACTTCTTTTTATCCCATGTTTACACCTTTATCCCGTGGATATAGCTCATGGGATATCGTTTTCATATCCCACAGTTATGACGTCACAATGGTTTTTGCGTTAGCATGAGGAAGTAAAATATAGCAGAATCCTATATAAAACAGTGTTAAACATCGGTTGTGAAGTATTTAACATGGGATAAAAAGAATCTCCCATGTTTTGTAGTTGAATATGATTTTTATCCAACTTGTTGCGTGTTTTTATCCCCTCGCCAAGGCTCGGGGATAAAAATCACACAACTTGTTGGATAAAAATCATATCCAACTACAAATCATGGGAGATCCTATATATATTAAGTCACCTGAGTCATTCAGGTGACCTATTGCTATCATGTTTAGTCCATAGTCTAGAGGGTGTGCATAGTATGAGTGTGGGATCTGCGAAACTTTTTCACATAATAATTTTCGAGTCAATTTCGACATCTATTCCAGTACCACTGAGCCAAATTCAAAAACCTTGACAACTATACATTGGATTGTTACAATTTGATAGTCTCTTCAGTGTTTTTTATATCAAGAATGGATATGTATAAAGGATAGATAATTGAAGGAAAAATACACACATGTCTACAAAAAATTAATCTTTGAAAGGGCAAATCTTATAACTTTAAAAGTGTTGTATTGGGTGGATTCAAACCCCTAACTTTAAAAATAAAGTATCCAAGGTGTAAAAGTCTTGTGTATATATCAACTGAGCTTGTCTGACCATAAGAATTAGTTTTTTTGTCAATTTTTACCCCAGGGTAGGAGTGCCCCTAAAAAAATCTTATCTTAAAATTATTCCTTACATCTAAACCAATCAAAATATCAAAATTTTATTTAGGGGCATACCTGCCCTGAAGGACTTCAAGGCCAAAATTCATGTAAAATCAACGCTTTAACGGAAAAAATGGTGTTTCGGTCAACTTCGGAGGTTTATTCAATTGTAAAGTTGTAAATAATAAATTTTAGGCATAAAATACAAATTTGAAAAATTACAAATAATAAAGATTGAAATTTAAATGTCACTTTATCCAGGAATTTCTTCTTTCCTATAGGTCAATTGTTTTTTTAAAGTGATTACATCCTTTATTGATTTATTGAAGGGTTGACTTTTCAATATTGTTTTATTTTCTTTAGGGGTGAAGAATTTCGTAAAGATTTTTCGAGGATCCAGGAAATACTTGGGATATTTCCTAATGTACCGGTGTCCCTTTTCACTGCCACAGCATCTCCATCCACTCGGGACAAACTGGTAAAGGACTTAGCTTTGCGCGACCCTCTTCAAATCACAAAAAACCCAGACCGTCCTAACATTAAATATATCCGTCATGAAAGATTACCAAGTGTTAGACAAGACGATGACTTGGATGAAATCTTAGGTGACATTGCAGATGGCCTCCTGGAAGATAAAGAAAAATTCCCAGTAACAATTATTTATAGTGATTTGGAGACCATAAGGTATGGCTATAGATTCCTGGAGGCTAGAATTGGAGAGGACTGTCCAGAAAACCGTTCTTATGCACAGTTTCATACACATTATACTGAAAGAATGAAGAACTGGATTATCTCAGACCTTGGTAAACAGGAACCAGTGACAAGAGTTGTACTAGCTACTGTTGCACTCGGGATCGGACTTCATGCGCCATCAGTGAGAAGAGTCATCCATTTCAAGTCACCCACTAACATTGAGAAGTACATTCAGGAAACGGGTAGAGCTGGAAGGGATGGAAAACCAGCAACTGCTATTCTCTACTGGAACAAAACAGATGTACGGAGCAACCGTCCTGGTTTACAGAGTGCCATGAAAAAGTTTTTTACGAGCAAGGATATTTGTTTAAGAGCTCAGTTATTGTCACATTTAGATTTTACACCTGAGTTACAAATAAGTAAATGCAATTGTTGCAGTGTATGTGAGCAATATTGTGAATGTTCAGAATGTGCGAAATAATTCTGGTATCATTAAGCACTGTGGTTCTTTCATATAAGAATGATAAGGTTCCATTTCAAACTAGAAATCCTTTAATGTGTCAGAAAATATAAAATTAGTATGTAAATCAATAGACCAATTAGGTTGATTCTCATAACATCACTGTGAATAGTCTAGATATTTTTTCATTTAATACTGCATAAGACTGGCAATATATTCTAATTTTAAACTCTAGAAATCTGCATCAACCAAAAACATGTATAAAATCTTACTAATAATTACATTCTGTTATTATAATGTTATATTAAGTAATTTTGGCTTCATAAACATTTTATTTGATAGAATTCCCCCTAAAATATTAGTATTTTATTTTGCTAGAATTCACTGTTACATATTCATTGTACTTGACATGATTAAAATTCTGATTGAATATTTCATTTGAATCTTTTTTTATCAATAGAGCCATCAATTTCACAAATTAAAATGATGTTATACAGTGTACTTGTAAAGTAAAAAATGCTTATAACGAAGTGCCAGGGAGAGATATCATTATATGTGGAATTTGTTATATCTGTTAAGAGTTTAAAATATTTTAGAGCCACAGGGAATCAAAAATCACTTGGTTATTAATAAGTCATTTCATTATAAGCTTGTTTTACTTTATATTTACATACCCTGAATAATATAAATTGCAAAAGAAGTTCATGGAAGTACATGTATGATGTTTATTGAAGAAAAAAAAATTCTGACAAAAACTCTTCATCACAGAATAAGATGGTACATTGTTATTTGAACTGAGACCTTATATAGTACCACATTCACTGATCGTAATTATCAATGTCAATGTTCTGGCCCCTTCTTAATCTACCTATTATTTTCAATAAATGGGGTTGAAATTCACAAGAAATTGTAGAGAAAGGATTTCTTCTAAAGGAAGAAAATGAGACCATTTTTCGATTTTCCACTACTTTAAATGGTTCAACAGTTCCAAGGATGTCGACAAGGTGCTTCACATCTTCTGACTTGTCTTTTGTGCAGTGTACTCCTCTCCTCATATGACAACCAAGATTGCTGATATGGTTGTCGACCGTCTCTGCAATGACGGGGGCTGCAGCAGAAGCACGCTCCATAGCATTATTAGTTTTGTGAGCACCCAAGCCTTTGATAACATCTTTTAAGACAAGTATATTGTTCTCCTGCTGCATGTCGGCAGGTTTGTTGCCCCCCTTTATACCATGAGGATTAACAAAGCTGCTTAACCTAAGTCTCATAGACAGAGATTCGGGTAATAATACTTCACTTTTCAGTATATAATCAATACATTCTACCGCATATTTAGACTTGTTTGAGTGGCTGTAGAAGAATGGTATCATCCTCTTTATGTTGATGTTTGTTCTGTATGGGTCACCTTCCTTAATGCCATCTTGAAACTCCACAAAGTGCAAGTACCACATTAGAAACTGAATGGTATAGTTTTGTAAATCATCAGTGCTTTCCTTCCCATTGTAAACACGAAAAGTGGCTCCAGATGGAAATTTCAAATCCACAAAATCATGTTTGTTTAGCTGTTCACGAGGGATTTCAATGGACACATTTTCTACATTCACTGTCACAGGCGGCAAACATCCAAGATCATTAAACCCCATATAAAGCTCATCTACAATTTGCTCCACAACTTGTCTAAAATATGGCAACCTTGTTTTTATATGGGCTTTTCCGATATTCTCTGGCATATTCAATTTGCTGAAATCTGGTTTACTCTCCAAAGTGTCCATCGAAAACTTTTCCATGCACATTCGAACCAGTAATGCCTCCCCAACTGTATGGACAAAGTCACTATGTGGCTAAAAATAAAATGTATGAATTTTTGAAAGACAAGATGTTTTATGTCAAAAAAATTTAACTTGTACATGGACTTATTTCTAATTAATTAAGATTTAAATTTACCTGAAATGCACCTTTTACTTGGCCATTAACATTTGATCTTTTTAACTGGCATTTGTAGAAGGCAAGGCTCCCCTGCTGCCTCATAGACTGGGTGGTGTAGAATTTCTTATAAAGTTTCTGTAAAATTAATTTTTGGGGTTGATTTTATGTACTTCAGAAGCCTTGATTCAGTAGAGATTATCAATTTTTAAAAAAATTATCAGAAGTGTATCTTTACATTTATGCATACATGTTATATTTACCTCAAGAAAATCCTGTTCAATGTGGAACAATTCTTCAATGATGGGACTGAAGTGTTCCAGTCTTTCAACAGATGAATGGGCTCCAGCAAGCAAATCTTTTGCCCCACTCATCCTAACTCGTACTAACTGATCCCCGCCTAAGATGATTTTAGACTGCTCAAAATCATCACCTATACATACATGAGAAAAGAAAAATGTTAAATAGGTAGATAAATTTTATTGTTGTAAATTGATAATACTAAGCCTTCTGTCCTGAATGAGTTAGAAAGTGGACACAATTATACATATAACACTGTAATGGAATCTCTCTTCAGTATCACCATGATTATGGACAGAGAACATGAACATGTGAAGTATGCTTCTTAAGGTAAGGTTTGCGTCTCCCTCCAACTCATATTTTTTTTTAAATGCACACATGCTATATATCAATTTATTCAGGGAGATTAGCTTCATCATTTAATATGATTTTCAAAGATATTGCCCGTCCCATTTTTTTAGTAAAAGATCCCAAATTTAACGTATTTCATATATCACCTCGAATATTATTTTCATTGAAAAAATTGATTTATTTTATAAATTATCAAACTTTTATAGTTAAAATGACCTGAATTAGTATAATTCATGCTTATATTATTTAAACTTTTAATTTTCCGTTATCAAAAATGTGAAAATTTGGGTAAAAAAGAAGATTTTTCAATTTTCCTTGATAAAGTGAAACCGTTGCCATGGCAACAAAAATATAAAAATCAACGTTTTACATATCTACCGATTCCATCAAAATCCAAGAAGTTATTAATTTGATCATTTTCATTAATTTGAACTAAAAAAATATGTATGTCTCCAACATTATTTCCATGGAAACAGGGGCTATATTATGGGTTCGGAACATAAAAATCAGGCTTTTTCTACACTTTTAAAGACAACATTGATATCACCTTGTCATGGTGAATGTTAAAGACTAAATGTTATTTTGATATTGTTTTTAGGCATAAATTGGCCAAAAATATTCAAAATAAAACTCCTCCTGTGATACATGATGGTCTAAAAATTTATTCCATAGAAGAACTCTAGTATTTATGGCAATCTTTACATCTGAATATTCTGATGAAATTGTCCATGAATTATACTGCAACACCTTTAGAAGTACATGTATATGTATATAAACATACTTCAGAACATGTTGCAACTAAACCAATTAAAAGCTTATGAATTTGACCTCATGCTGATTTAGCTATTCCAACATGTAGTAACTTCTAGGCATCTTTGTAGCAAAATATCTTTATTCAGTTATGGCTGGTGACTGTCATTATACATGTATGCCATTTTTTGAGTGAAATGTTGTAAGCATTGCATCCACGAAGCTGCTGTTTTTATAATTAAATGATTTCTTTACTTCGAAGAGTAGAAATGCTATCTTTAAAGTAATGTTTGTTTGCCCTCTCTTGACTCAGGGTAAAATTATTGGGTCAGTAGGTGAGAAAATCTTCAACAACATTTTTAAGGGGGATAAGAGGAATAAAAAGAAAAAATACGGCCCTGCATTGAAAAAAAGTTTTCAGTCTGGTCATTTTAGTCAGTCGGTCTGGAGAGGCCAACAACCAAACATTTTTTTAAAGATGGCCTATTTCTACACTTCATGGACATTAGCTCAATCATTGGATTAGGTAGTCTGAGAATCTAAATTGAAATATCAGACAGAACAAAATAAAGATGAATTCTAAGTGACATCAATTCATACTTTAATGAGTTTACAGAGTACTTCTGATTTCAGAGAAAAGACAAATTCTGCAAAATGACATAACACTGTCATAAATATTTGTCAAGAACAGGGAAAAAGAAACAATGCTACAGTGATAGATATATCTCCTTGATATCCATGAAATAAAAATTTAAATATAACAAAATTTTCTTCTTTTAAAAATCAAAATACAGAAAAAAATTAAAAGATTATAAATGTAAACAATTTTAAAATAAACTACATGTATTTTGAAAGATTTTAATTTTAGTAGATTACTAAACTGGTCTTATCATTCCTACTAAATTAACATCCTTACAATTTCCAAGTGTCATGTTTTAAACTGTTACAGTAGATATAATTATACATGTTCACTGCAGCTTTATGTACAAAACTCATCAGCTTTCAGAAATACTTATTTGAGCATATTAGGTCCTGGTAAGAACAAAATGTAATGAATAAAGATATTAATCTTAATTGTTCATGTATTAATTTCCTTGCAATTTTACAAACCCTTTTATGAAACTTGTTACATGTGAGTATAGACAAATGCAACCTTCAATTAATACCTATGATGTATACATTTATTTTACTGAAAACAAATTCAAAGATGGACAAACAGAGCATGCACTGCAATCATCACATACACATATTTTCTAAATATATGGAAAACAGCATGTATATACTAGATAGGATGTTGTTAAACATTAAATTTTCTTCTGTAATCTATAGACATATAAAAATGTGCATTGGGTATAACAAGTCAGAAGTTCTTCTCCAAATCTCCATTGATTTTTCCATGCCTCACCAGGTTCAACATCTTAGCTTGATCCATCCAACTTTCTTTAATATTCTTGAGCTGATATGGGATGACCTCTACTTTGATTGATGGCACAAATCTTTCAAGGAAACACTGAAGTACTTTTTTTTGGTTCTTATCTATTCCAATAAATGACCCATGATCTGAAATCATATGTGTTCATTTCTACAATAACATTTAAGGAATTGCATTTTTGGAATTGTATAAGGAATTGCACTGAGTTTCATTCACTCAATGAAATGAATAAATTTCCAATATAATCAATGAAGAATCAATATGAAATTATTGTAAAATTTACAGATTGAATTAGTGAAATGCAAATGCTTGATCAAGAAAATTAATGTTCTTGTCATGCACAATCTGTATCTCTTTTTATTAATTAGAAAATGAGATATTAATTAAAATCAAACCTCATTTAAAAAGGTAACTTGAACAATTGAATACCTGTTCCAATAATGTTACAAATATTAGGCCTAAAAGGCAAGGATTTTATTTTTCATAATTTCTTGAATTAATGCACTTTTATTTTTTGGCAATGTTGGGATATTAGTCACATCCTGACATCCTTGTACCGTTTATTCATCGTATTTAATCTGTAGTCAGTAGATCATTCATAACTTTCAGTAAAATGAATAGTTAAATAATTACCTGATGAAAATACTATCAACAATCAAACTGTCAACATCATCATTAGACATGGTCAAATGCACCGTGACTTTTCTTCCCTGTTCGGACTGCATATAGCATAATACTTTACAGGATACTCTCAGGTCTTTTCTTTTTTCTTTCCCATTCTCACTTAAAAGTTTAGTGTAGTGGTGAAGCGAAAAACACACAACAGCACAATGCGTCAATGACTTTCTTCTGATCGAAATGGCCGTGCAACTTGCCACGTTCCGTATCGAAAATAAACAAGTCCTCCTTTATTGGTTCATCCACATGCATCACGCTAATCTCAAAGGCTTCTAAGATTCCTATGCTTTGATTTATTATAAGACTTTCTCCTGAAAACGTCCTTTGTTTTAGTCCTAACAATAAGTGACAACAAACATCAAGTATGACAGAGGAAATTCGTTACTGAGATGCTTAGCATCGCTGCTTTACATTCGCCTGTTTCAAACGCTTTAGTGATTCGCAAGAGTTATCTCCCTGTAAACGCAAACCTTACCTTAAAGGGTACATAAATATTTGCATGATATGCATGAAAAAAATTGATAATAAAAGCAAATTTCTTTAAATATTATAAAAAAGTTATCAAAACAGTAAAACCTTGATAAAAAAGAAAAATAACAGTCAAAGTAAATAAAAATGAAATTTAAAAAAAAACAAACAAAAACAAAACCAATAAAAGGTACTAGTAACTGCAAAAAATGAAGATAATTAATAGAACCCTTTTTGTTTATATTTACTTCTCCCTGCTTTTACATAACAATTTTGCAAATCTTTTGTGAGGTCATTTAAGACCTGAATACAGCCTGCATAAAACTTTGGGTCTTGAAGTGTGATCTGAAATATTGAATTCTTGAGGGTAATATATACTATATATCAAACATGTAATATGTCACATATGTCACATTTCATTATATTTTTTCTATACAAATTTTGTAATTGTTCAGTCATTTTTAGGATCTTTTATTGAAATCAATTAACATAATGATGCAGGGTTTACAGGTGTTCGTAAAAGTCTGTCAATATACATGTCTCAGTGGCTTTGTGGTTAGAGTGCTGGCACAATACATCAAAGGCCCTGGGTTCAAGTGAAGTCTCAGTTGATATATGATTTTTCACCACAATAATCTTGCTAATTATTTCAGTAGAGTTCTCATAGAACTCAAAGGCAAATCAGTGATTAATAATTATATAGAAGAATTATACTGAATGAACACAAGGCACACAAGGCTATCTGTTAAGTATTGGGAATGCAAGTGGTTAGTTATCTTAATGCATAATTTGACAGCAATGGAAAGCATTCAAAAACATTATTTAATTGAATGCCTTACCTTAAGAGGAAATATTTGGGACTTGGTTGACATTTCCTGACTGTAGGGGTGAGGAATATGCTTTGGGATACAAGACTCCATCCACCTTACCTCTGGAAAATAAGCCACCATAATCCTCCCAACCTGAAGTTTTACAGAACAATTAAATTCAGCATAGAAATTTATTTTAAAAAGATTTTAAAAGGTTATTATTAAAAAAGAAAAACATATACACCCACCATATATCCATACATTTCCTTAAGTTTCATTTCCTCATTTCCATTTAGAAAAAAAATACTGGAAGGAATTTCCTCAGGCACAACTCTATTGTGTTCCAAATCTGACACATCTACTCTGTCTGGATAATACGTTGATGCTGTATAATGGTAGTGCTTATTCCCACCTGTAAGTCTCACATCTCTTGCAATTGTCATACCATCAATGTTATCTGCTGTAATTTTTCCCGGTTTTCCTTCCCTTATGCTACTTATTATACCCTCAGTGTTGAAACGGCCCATGTCCTCTAAAAATCCATATTTACTGCCAGATGCCAGTGTTATATTTGCTTTGTTGAAAATATCAAGCAGATCATTTCCAGCATGAAACCGTAGAGCAACACAAGTGTTTATTTTTTGTACTGCGCACAAATCCTTGTTCCTTCTGTTCATTGCCATACCATACATTGTAGCTATTGTGGAATTAGCTGCAGATACTTTTTCAGGATCTGTGAAAATTGAAGATGACATAGTTTGAAATATTTTAAATACAAATGGTAGGCAATTTTGAAATTCAATGAGACATTTGCTTAAAATGTCTTCCGACTTCAAAAGTGATGGTTGCTGAAATGTTCTTAGAACAGAGGGACCTGGTGGTACTGTCTGTGAACAAAGTTTGTCTGCTATTAATTCAGTCTCAACACAGGGACTTGCTCCTGGCGTGTAAAAAATATTTATTAAAAAAAAAAAACCAAACGATATACTATAAACTACAGTATATCGTTTGGTTTTTTTTTAATAAATATTTTTTACACGCCAGGAGCAAGTCCCTGTGGTCTCAAGTAATATCAGGCGCTGGATTTCAGCCAACTTGTTTTTATTCTTGAAGATTTCTTCAGCAGTACAGCATTCACTTTCCTTGTTATGTTCATCTTCTTTCCTAAAGAAATCTATCTTAAATTGGAAGGAATTAGATTTGGCCATCTCCAGCGGTGTCAAATAACTTCCATAACTATGATCAGATGCAGTTATGTCAGACAAATTACAAGGTTCTTTGGGTGTAGAACTGACTGGTGTGACATCAATATCTGAAAACTGAAGTCTTTTCTTTTTCTTTGGATTGATTGGTGTCAGTGGTTGTTTATTTTCTTTGTTTTCCTGATCAGCCTTATTTTTTGTAGAAGAGCTTGGTGTTTGATTATGGGCCATTCTTTTAATTCTTGCCTGTGCACATAAAAGACTTGGCTTCTTTGAAATAGCTTTTAATAAATTGTTGCGAAATTGCACACATATGTCTAAATGTCGTTTACAGGTCAAACATATCTTGCACTGACTGATACATATGTTTTCCACTGTTGTTAGATCCACCTCAAAAGACTCTTTGAGATCATTCAATACTTTATTGTTCCCTGGTAATGCAACATTAGTAATAATATTTCGCAATTGTCCAGTTTGCGGTTTCTGGCATAAAAACCATAAGGTGTCTATGAGTATTCTCTTTAATGGGGTCTGGTTCATCATTACATCTGATTGGACACATTTCCTGAAATGTGATAACATGTTATATAAGTGATTTACAATAGTTTGTTAACTCTTCAGATTATATTAGCCTAAAAATTCACGACAAAAACAATCTAACTTTCTCTAGTTTGTTGGTTTATCCATGGACCTAAAGCGATTTAGGTCTATGTATCAAAACATCTCATTTGAGGAAATTCGAACAATCTCGTCGTTAAAAAATCAAATAGAAACAAAAAAAAATCTCTCTAGTGTTCTTTACTTCTCATATTTTACACTTATAAATAATAAAAAAAAAACAACTACAAACTTACCTAGTCAACCTGCATCTATATAATATGTTTTACGGTGTGACCGTTGAGGCGAGCGCAGTTGTACCATCAAAACACTTAAAAAATTGATCAGCCACTTCAAACATCAAGTCGCACGAGACATCTCGTCTAGCTGTGACGTCACACGACGTCACGGAGCTCGTCGGAGCCTACGGAAACGGCCGAGCGTCTGGTTTAAAGCACAATTTTGGTCGAAAAACATTGCAGAGTTATTTTTTGTTTCTTTGAAAGATTTCTACAAACTGAAAGCTTTTTATGCTTTAAGTTATTGTTTATTTATTTATCTATTTCACGGAAGCAACCGACATGACTTAATTAGCATATCGTCAAAATTCGTAAGTTTCCGGTGACGTCATATGTATCATTTCCGAAGGGCAAGGTGAAGGCCAGTGTTGTGGCATGGGGGGATGTTTTGAATAAGGCAAGGCAAAATCATTTCGTTAAGTTCTCGGTAAGAAACAATGTTCCTTTATTTTTTTTTACTATTTTTGATTTATTCGCGCAAAGGACATTGGGTAGTGCAGGAATTCTGGGAATGTTGCACAGAGAAATTTGCCTGACGTATGTACAGATTTCATTCCGAATTTCCTCTGTTTTTACACGTTAGTCTATTGAGCTCGCTTCGCGAGCGTCGCTTCGCGACGCTCGCTGCGCTCGCTATTATCAAATCCAATGTAGTTCTACTTTCGAATTCGAGGCGAACGTAATGTAGTTCCTGGGAAATCCCTATCCCATAATGCCTAACTGGAAGAGTTTGGTTTGTGAGCAAACGAACTCTGGCGGAAGTTTGCACTCTTTGTGTCTGAGGTCATCTCTACCATAGGATTCAGGTCATTTCATCTTATCATATCATAAAGAAATAATTTATTTTAACGTCTTTAAGAGTTTTCTCTCTTATCAGAGTATAGATTAACCTTTAAACCTTTTGACGTTTCGTGTATCCAACTTGTTCAGCTTATTGAAAACAATTTGGCAATTTACTTCCACAGCTTTATATATCATTACATTGTTCTTCATCTTATTAGTAATATCCTTGCAATTCTGAACTTTCAAGCCACCTAACATCGTTCCATTCTTCTCTCTGTCAAAGTATTGGATGTCATCATAACTTGCATTCGTAACTACTCGGCCACTTTTCGAAAGTTATTTATCATTCACGGAAATGGCCGAGTAGTTACGATTGCAGAACTCGGACAAATGCATGATGAAAATACATGTACGTTTCCATCTAAATCTCCCTTTCTTTAGTGAAGATATATTTCTATTATGTATTCTCTTAAATCCCTGGTGTTGTCTCTATTATAGTCTTTATGGCTTTGATTTGCAAAAACTTAATCTAAACAAATACTGAGGTTACTGAGTATCTAGTATTTCTCAGATTAACTTTATCTAATATAATTGTTAACTAGCAATTTTCAACGACTGACGTACATGTATTGTTAAAATATTTACTAGTACAAACCCTCGTCCTACATTTAGAATCATAATCGTTTATATAACACGAACATGAACACATATCTATGTTACGAAAAATAATAATGTGTGCAAAGCTTGGATGAAAAAGTACTATACTTTCTGTAGTTGGTGTAAAAAAAACCTCAGACAGATATTCAACAAACTCTTAACAGTATAAAAAGTATTTTAACAGTATAGAAAGTATTTTAACAATTCTCGTTTAAGCATTTGGTTCAGGTGAGCTTTCATAAGAACTAAGTCAAGAGAGTAGATTTTTATTTGTGCATGACCTTTAATAACATTAAAAGATTATATCAATGATGTGACACCATCTGAAATGTAAGAAGATGGAAGTCTAATTTGACCAATAACTCGTGAACAAACAACAGAAGTTCTTCTCTGACTGCAGTCATGAATAATTCATATTAAGGTATTCTTTTGTTTGCTTTCATAAAATACAGAATACTTTGATTGTATGTTTGATATTTTATTGACAATATCAACTGACAAAATGAGATGAATTACAATACAGATAGCCAGCATTCCATGATAATGTCCTATTACATGGCTCCAGGGTCAGGTTCGGGGTCAAGATGAGGAAATTTTGTCGACCAAGCCACTGCCCTCTATTCCGTTGTAGAAGAAGAAATTATCGTGAGGCTGGTCCTTCAGGGATACTGCCTGTAATTATAGAGAACAAATACGTGTATAGACGTCACAGATGTGTTAACCCCCTTCCCCACAGTCATGCATTTTACACACGCATACACTATTTTCTATTTCTAACACAAAATCATGCATACTCTATAAGGTTTCCCCACAAACGCGCATTATTCACGCACTTAAAAAAGTACATTTAATCTTAATTAAATGCCATATTCCTTCTATTTTATGCTTGTTAAAGTCTCATAAGATTAGAATAGTCATTTTCTTATAGAAATCTTACATTGTATATACGTAATATTATTATTTACGCTAAACTTTAGTGAAACTTTTATAAAACTTAAGTTTATGTTGCACAACAGTTCAGTAGATTGTAAAATGTAGATAATTAAACAACTGGTACCTGATTAGTTTTTGGATATTAATTTTTTTAAGAAGATATACATCAGAAAGGGATTTATCTAGAAGTTTTTTATCCTGTATAAGTCTACTGTAGATCCACAATATTATTAAAATATAGTGCAAATGTAATTTCTAAAAATAATAATGTAAGTACTTTGAATTTCCAGTACCAAGACAGATAACTCTGGAAAAATAAAAACACTAAATTTCCAATACATAGACAAATAAATGGCAACACAAGGCCAATGGGCCACATCCCTAACATGAGTCACAAATTTCCTGATTTAGTTTTAGAGGAAATATAATTTTAAGATTGTTTTGCGCTTCATCCCATTCTAATAGTAGAACATTTCCTAAAGATGTTTTTTCATTAGCTTTGCTGTTACTCCTGGACATGCATTTAGGAAATTTCCAGTACCAAGAAAGATAACTCTGTTTACAAGAGGTTCATGGGCCACTATGCTCACCTTGGTGACACTGAAAAAGCTTTATAGAGAAAAACATTATTGGCTCTTCACTCTCTTATAGAATTACATCAATATTGACATCCCCTCAAGATTTGAACCACATGCCTTTAGATCGTTATAATCTGATCAACTCACAATGTTGGATGGAGGAGGGAGGGCGTGAAGAAAATATGACGGTTTGAAATCTCATATACGATACCTAATTTCGTCAATGAAATATAAATAAATACAAAGGACGCAAAATAATTATTATACTTTCTTTTTATGCTATCACACTTCCACAAATGACATTACTTAAAAGTTTCTGAACTTTGACTTTCATTAATTTCGAAAAATCTAAAAATATAGGATGAGTTGTGAGTTCTGGCATATAAAATGTTAACACCATAAATGAAAACATCTCATAAAATTCTATATAATAGCCATCAACTTTACTAATGTTCTAGATGTGTTTAAATCCTAACTACAGACCAGGAAGTATAAATACCTGATAGGTAGATAATACAGGTAAGTGGGTCACGTGATCAGAGTGCATACCAGAGATCAATAGACAGGATGACCGCCATTACAAAAGGTAATAAATATTGACGTAATTGAAGCATTCTGAAGTAAAAAGAATTGTTTACAAATTTTAATGTTTGAGAATCGGTACTATAAACTTTAACCATGGGAACAAAATTCCCTTCATAAAACGATTCAATGTGTAAATTAATCTTGTATATATATAAAATGATTTGTTTATCTACAATGTAGATAAACAAAGCATTTGATAGATCAAGATGGGTGCGTCGATTTACCCAAAAGGACCCAAAAGGAACCCAAAAGGACCCAAAAGGAACCCAAAAGGAACCCAAAAGGACCCAAAAGGAACCCAAAAGGACCCAAAAGGACCCAAAAGGAAATCAAATGAATATATTATGATATAATGAAAATTAATATTTTGAATCAAAATATGAATATTATTTTATAAGTTTACTTAAAATTTGGTAAAAACATACATTTATTTTGTTGCAACTTTTCTTAAAGAAAAAGCATACCACTATTATAACACATCAAACACTAAATCTGGTCAGATATGCTTTGATTTCCTTTAGCAAATTAACAAAGTATAATCTACTTTTCCTTCTGTTTTACCACAGCTTACTATATGATATTTAATAAATGAAGAAATAAAGTTTTATTTCATGACATGTTCTAGGCATATGGTATCGGGGGGGGGGGGGGGGGGGGTCGATGGGGATACCCCCCCCCCCTTAACACACACTTTCCCATAAAAAATAGTTTTAGTTTTAATAAAATATGAAAGTGTTTATTTTAGATTCATTTATTTTCTTTATTTCAAGTCCTTTTGGGTCGTTCTTAATTTCCTTTTGGGTCCTTTTGGGTTCCTTTTGGGTCCTTTTGGGTTCCTTTTGGGTCCTTTTGGGTTCTTTTGGGTCCTTTTGGGTAAATCGACGCACCGATCAAGATTGATTTACACACTGAAGTAACATACATGTAAAAGAACTCGAAATAATTTAGGTCCGCTGGTTTGAGACCAGTGAATTTTTAATCTGAGCAAGAGCATTGTAAAGGGTAAATGTCTTTTTTCAGTGTTTCTAATGCATTAAGAAATACATTTCTAGTCTGACAAGTTAACCTGACAGGGTTATGAGTCCAAGTTTGATTGTTTCTTGTTTCGTTATGTTGTACTTTTATGTAATACATAATATACATGTAAACAAAATTATAAAAATATTACTTATATTGACTTTATTATGGTCTTCATGGCAATGTAAGACAGTGAAAGTACTAAATTGAGCTAAAATTTAAGATAATAGCCCGAATGACAAGTGGATTTTTTTTTTCTAGATATGTTGTACGTTATATACATGTATCTGGAAAACGTGTCGACAAAATATGGCAAATGCTATCACGTGTCCTGGGCATTCAAAGTGATTCTCTAGTCTGACAAAAGTTTTGTTGCCCTCAAACCCATTCAACAAATGCATAATCAGAAATTAACGTTGAACTATTATTGTTTCAGTCACAATATCTAAAGATGGACCCCCGCACTAGTGCCCAGGACGTGATGCGATGTGACCTGTGTGAGACCGCTGTGGTACAGATGCACTGTGATACATGTCTTGTTAACCTTTGCACAGCTTGCATAGGAAAACATATCCTAACAGGTGAATCTAAAGATCACAAAGTTGTCAAATTTCAGGACAGGAAATCCACCCTCCTCTACCCCGAATGTACAACTCATAACAAAGAACGATGTAAAATGCACTGTAAACAATGTAATATTCCTGTCTGCATCAGCTGCATTGAATCCAATCAACATTTAGGGCATGAATTATCTAATATCTTGCGAATTTTGGATAAAAAGAAGGACATTTTTAAAAAGGAAAGAAATGAATTAAATGAAACAATTTATCCAACCTACCAGGACATTGCCTCTGATGTACAAAACAAAATCAGTCAGTTAGAAAAGGAATATGGAGATCTCTCAACAGCCATAACAAAACATGGAGAGGACTGGCACAGAGAAATTGACAAACTTGTTAATGAACTTAAAGCTGAAGTTGATGTGATGAAAAACACACAGTTACAAACTCTACAGAAATATCTGGATGAAATAAACAAGACAATGTCTGACATCAAGGATGAAATAGATTCAATTGAAATGGCTATAGACACTAATGACTTGTCAAACCTGTTTACTATAACATCCAATGTACAAAGATACAGAAATCTTCCATCCAGAATTATGCTATCTTTACCCAAATTCATTCCAAGAAAACTCCAAGGAGAAGAATTAACAAAACTATTTGGATCCCTATCATCAAGATCTTTAACCTCAGATAAACATGGCTACAGCATGAAGACAACACAGAAATCACCAGAAGCTGGATCCTCTCCTCCGGTCAAACAGCTGCTTGATCAACCAAAGACTGTCACCACCATAGACACTGGGTACAGGGAACTTTACAATGTGACCTGTCTGAGTGATGAAGAAATCTGGACAAGTGGATTTGACAGCACCATGAAACTCTACAGCATCAATCAGGGATCACTACTCAAGTCAATCACAACCAAGTCAGGGAACGGACCACAGGACATAGCAGTGACAAAAAGTGGAGATCTAATTTATACTGATTCCTGGGATAAAACTGTGAACATTGTGAACAATGAGAAGATAGAGGAGGTGATCAGACTAAAGAACTGGAGACCTTACGGTGTCTGTAGTACCTCCTCTGGTGACTTCCTGGTTATCATGGACAGTGATGACAACAAACAATCAAAAGTTCTCCGTTACTCTGGCTCCACAGAGAAACAAACCATTCAGTTTGATGATAAAGGTAAACCTCTCTATTCATTTCGTCATTATGACATACACTACATAACTGAGAACAGGAACCTGGATATCTGTGTATCTGACAGTGGAGCTAAAGCAGTAGTGGTGGTCAATCAGGCCGGGAAACTGAGATTCAGGTACACTGGATATACTCCTGCTCCAAAGAACAAACCATTCAGTCCACGAGGAATCACCACAGACAGTCAGAGTCACATCCTTACAGCTGATGATAACAATCACTGTGTCCACATCATAGACCAGGATGGACAGTTCCTCCGTTACATAGACTGTGGACTGAGTAGACCCTGGAGACTGTGTATAGATACAAATGACAATCTGTTTGTTGCTCAGTGCTTAAACAAACAAGTGAAAAAAATCAAATATTTGTATTCAATATAAATAATAAAGTAAGCCAATATTACAGATATACATGTATAATGCGCACTATGAAAACTTGCAAAAATATTTTGATATTGTTTTCTTACTAATCATTTTCAATGATTATATTTTAAGATACTGTAAACACTATATAAATGGCTATAATTTACAAAGACATGAAAGCAGAGTGCTAAATTCATGAAAACAGGGTAATTTTTTTCAAATTCATGTCAGAAATACATACTAGCCCAAACACCATTATTCATCAGAAGACTTTCAAATGTTGATTCCTTTTCAAACCCATGAAAAATTTTCATATTTTGACCAAAACCAAACGTTTATCATTTAAGAATCCACAATATATAGGGGTGCTTCTAAATCAATAGGACTAAAAGGCTTTGGCTGTTCTGGAGATGAATATTTCATCCCCTAAATACATGCATTATGCAAAATTAATCCAATTTTAATCCATCCTAACTCCATTGCCACATCACTCAACTGAGTAATTTTAGCCTTGCTGTTTTTTTAAATATGTTTTCCTTGCATTTCTTTGAAAAAATGTTACCTCATTTTATGGTTCCTTCCTAATTTGAAGAAGTCTCTGAATGCACACACAAAAAAGAATTACTGGTATTCCATTTCAATATAACTAGTATTGCCTTGCCATTATGGAGAAGAAAAATAGTTTTTCTTCCTGTTCACATGCAAGACTTCATCCCAATTTCAGACAACTCTTAATTCCAGACCTGGTGTTATGACAATATATAATGGTAATGCATGGTCATCATTAAATTTCTTAAATATCCATGATAATAAAATAAATTGTTTGATGCTCTCAGGAGGGGGGGGGGGTGATCATAGTTGCTTTGGTGCACATAGTAGTGGATGTAACTTATTTTTGCCTTTCCTTTTCACCCCTCATAAAATTTACAATCTAGAATTCCTTTAAAACCCCAGAATGCATTGTGCCAATTTCTGTTAAATTTGGCCCATTCAAGAAGAAGTCAAAATGTAAATGGATGGACAACTTAACAAATCATGGGCAGAATTTACTGTACTTAGTGTAAAAAATATTTATGGAATTCAAACTTTTATACAGTGTATAAAATTGCATATAAACATCACAGAATTTAAAACTATATTCCATAAAAATAGAAAAATCAATTTTTGAGATAAATAACTTCTAGCAATTTATATCGCTACACAAGAGACATTTACCTTAATGATTTCTTGCCCCATGACTCCACCCATGATGGCACATACTGGACTCAGCTCAGCAAAGCAGAAACTGTCAACAGTTATATGTACAGGGTTAGGCCCAAAAAATTAATCAATAGTTTCTCAGGCCAAAAAAATCAAAATTCAATGCGGCAGGCAGGCTTTTTTTAAGCAGGTTTTACACCCTTTTTTTTTAGCCATTTGTTCAATAAAATGATAATGTCTATCAATTCTCTGAAGTTAGTTACAATAGGTTTTTAACTTTAAATAATGTTATTCCAAATATTAATTTAAAAGTTAATTCATAAAATATTGTAAATTTAGAAGAAATATATTGTTTTTCTAATAAAATTGTCTATCTTAGCATTTATGAAAAGGGCAATAACTCAATTTTCTTTTTCAACCTGGAAAAATAGAAAATTGAGTTATTTCCCATTTCAATATGTCAATAAAATTGATCAATGCCTGGGCCTTTCAACTGCCGCTAGGGTTCGCTGTTATGAACGATAACTCATTGCGAAAACTTATTTAGAGCAGGTCCGAGGTATCTAAATAAGGTAATTTATTGTTGCATTTACTTGTAAAAATATATATACTCAACAAAAAAAGAAACGCATATTGTTTTACTCGTCAAAGAAATTTTTAAAATGTACATGAAACAACCATTTTTTATATCATTGGATACCTGTGACCTATTTAAAGGACAACATGGGGTTTTAAAACCCAAGTGTTGAATTATCTCCCTTGATTAAACATGTTTATGAAAGTAGTATTTTTCATGATTTCTTCTAAATCAGATGTCTATTTTCATCGATATTTTGGATTTAGAGAAACTTTTAACACTTCAATTAAACCCATATTTAAGATTTGATTGCAGTCTTAATACAGCAATGCCACGCCCAAACGAAGATGAATACAACCAGGCTAACGATGATACTAAATGGAGCTACGCAACAGGAAGTTGCAACTGTATCTGAAATAAATCAATGGCCTTTGCAACCTTAAAACTAACGTCTGAAGACCACTATCTGGCCATCCGCAGGTAACCACAACCAGGCAGGACCGTCAGACACCCCCCCCCCCCCCTTCATCACCTCATGCGATTCAGAACTTGCTGTAAAAACTGATGCAACAATTGCTGGATGAAAAAATCAGCATAAAAATGCATAAATTGTTCGCATGAGACTAAAATGAGATGATATTCCCCCACGATATTCGTACATTGGAAACCCAATAACATTGAGACTTTGCACAGTACATATTGTTATGCCCCTTGAATTTGGGGGCAATGAAAATGACCTCAACTTGACTTTTCAATTTGCAACATTGATTTTTATCACAACACACTCTAAAATCGCTTAAATAATACAAGGTTTAGACTGAAAACTTAGAATTTCAAAATATTCTGATTATGCGTTTCTTTTTTTGTTCAGTATATATACATGTATTTATATCAGTGACACTGAGAACAATATTATTATGTAACTTGGTCATTTATATAACTGTTAAAAAAAAAATTAATTATATTGTTATATAAAAAAAAAAAAAAGAGAATGTTTAAATTGTACATTTATGTACCGGTATGTTGAAATGCCCCCTGGGGCCCTTGATTGGTAAATAAAAATATCTTGTAATCTTATAGACTTCATATAAGAAACGTCTTTACTACATTCCTAAGGGCAGTGAACTATGACTGTATCACTAACTCCAGTGAATATTGAATCTAAAATCAGCTTCAGCAATTGTGGCTTCTGCTCTATATAATTTGTACATATACAGATATACGTAATAATGAACTTTTACAATCAAGCACAGGGTCTGGCGTAATTATGCAAAAATAAAGTTCCTTGGATAAAAAGTGATGAACAGTACCTGGCGAAGTCATCTGACAGTAGACTGGGACTGAGTTTCAGTTTCTCCAGGGTCACTGTTTTCTGTTCTATTAATAGCTTAATGTCACTCTCTTTCTGTTTGACATCAGGACATCTGTTGTTATTATTCATAAAGTCGTGTAACACTGCAAACACAACACAAATTCATTTTGTAAAATCTTATTAGTTGAAAACTGTTTTTCAATTGTCAGGAAATAGGGCCCCCTGTACAATTTTTAAAATCAACTAATGAAAATGAAACTTGTCTATTATCCAATTTCTCAATGAATAATTTAGCATAATTTGGGTGGATAAGCTTCACTTAGGCCAAGCTTAAAAAATTCTTTGTTTGCAGTTGCCGACCTGTAATTTTTAGACTGGATAGGTAGGTAGGCATTTTTTTTTTTTTTTTTGAAAAAAAAAAAACTGTTTCCAGATTTTTGTTAGATAACAAAATAGATTTTTTCATAGGCCTACTATACATGAATAAGCTGCACTCTTGATATAAACTAATGATTGATGAAGACAAAAATTGAATATGAAACAATTTTAATATCCTGAAAAATCAGAGAAAAAAAATAGTATTACAAAATGGCAATCTAATTAAAATTAGATATTAGATCCACTCGCATACTCTCTACACTAACATCTAACAACATTCCATAGAGGGTCACGTCTGAGGTCAAATTCGGAAGGGCTCTAGACTTATTCGCTTCAACAATATACGATGATTTTGCCAGCGACGATTTGATTGGTTGATAGAATTTGACCTCTTGACATGACCCTCCACGGGATGTTGTTAGATGTTAGTGTAGAGAGTATGCGAGCGGATGTAACATCTAATCTTAATTAGATTGACAAAATGGCTAAAAAAAAGTTTGGGTCG